GCTGCAGAGAGGAGGAAGCGAGACCAACTTTGAGATAGACTTATATTCAGTCAGTATTATCTGAAGAGGGTAAATGGGGGCAGAGTAGGAATAGTCAACTTCCATAGGAATCTTGTAGCTAGCCTTTCATTTTACATATTGGGGAAATTGAGACCCAGGAGAGAAAGTGGCTTGTTCAGATCAAAAAGAGAGTTAGTGGAAGACTCTGCAAGTATGTGAATGAGAACGTGCCAGAAACACAGACTTTCAACTACTTTTAAACCAGTATTGCAGATATGTGTGCCCACAATGTCATATAAACCTTTCCCTTTGACTAACAGTCATTAGTTTCTTGTCTAGAATTTCCTGTGAATTGAAGACACTACAACACCTTAGTTAAATGTTACTAATCCTCAGGAAATGATCAGATCTGTTTGTTTTAAAAATGATTATTTTTTAATCTAAGACTCTCATGCCCTAGGCATGTGATAAACTGTGTGTGTTTAAAAATAAATAAATAAAAGATTATTTCCCGTTACTTGTATTTTATCCTAGAAATGTGGCCATCCAACACTGGAGCAAATGCCTATCTACGTAACTGGGCAGTGCCAACAGGGACAATATCTTATCTATTTTAGAAATCTCCACATTGTGGATGGCACAGGATAGGCACACAAACACTTTTTAAGCTGATTTATACATTATAGAAATCGTGGCCATTATAGTCAGACCTGGATGTGAGTCCCAGTTCTATCACTTACTAGTGAGTGTCCCTAAGCAACTTATTTCAGCTCTGAGACCATTTCCTTACTTGTGAAATGTGATGAAGAGGATGCTTGTGTATCCACACACATTTCCTTAAAGCAGTACTTTGTGAGTATTCAAACCCCAAAATGATGCCTAGCACTTAACCTGTGGGGATTTTTTTTTAAGGAGGGATTCTTATTTTTAATTCCATTTTAAATTGCAAAGTTGTATTGGGAATAACTGAGGCATTGGAATCTAAAATCTTGACAATCTATGCATTATCTCTGAGAAATATACCTTATACTAAAAAAAAAAAAATAAGAGAAAGAAAAAGTGTCCTTGTGATTTTTTTCTCCACCTTTATCATTGATCATTCTCCATTTATGTCCTACCCCCTCTGCCTTCTCTCCTTTTCTTCCTCAACCTCAAAGAAACCTAATGGAGCCATATAAAAAGCTCCAAGATATAACTGACCTTGTGCACCTTTAATTGAGGACAGAATTTGCTAAAGTGCAGCCAAAAAACCCACCAGTGGTTTACTTTCCAATCTGTGTCCCGGCTAGACTAGCTGTTGGCTGTATAATTTGTCTAGTTTTGTCTGGAGTCCTAGACTATTCAGCTGCTTCAGGGCAAAATCTTTTGGGGTGTCATTAAATGGGATTGATAATTGGCTTCTGATGAATATTCATTGTGACTAATGACTTTGGGCAAATTTTACACATACTATCTTTCTATTCTCCCACTGAGTGAGATTTGATAGAATCATTTTCCTCAACTTGCACTTTAATTAAATATTCACAATACCCCTTTGTTGACTACTACACTCCAAATTGTATACTTTCATCATTTTAAATTTTTGTCTTCTATGAAGAATGAGCATAGTCCTTTAAGACTTTCATTTTTAGAAATGGGACTTAGAGTTATTTTTAAAATAAGTAGTTAGTGATATTTTGTGTGTCATAGTACATCATTTCTGGTTAAGCATAGATATATGGTCAGACTTTTCCTGTAATCAGCTTAACTGCTGTTCTTAAGTAACGATGCACATAATTTGTACTATTTAGTATTTTGGAAAGGAGCCAAACAATTCCCCGCTTTGTTTATTTGTTTTCTTAATCATATGGGTGAATGCATTTTACCCCAACTGCAGAGATTTGTCCCTTAGAAAAATACTGTAACAAAATGATCAAGCACCTTAAAAGCTTTGCTTTTATTTATTAATTATTATTATTTATTATTTTGCATCAAGGATAAGTAATTTTAGAATGTTGATATTTGGCTTAGTAGACTTATTTTGAGGTTAAGGACAGACACATGGAAAGAACATTTCCTGAGGATAAGATTTTGACCCCAAACAACTTCAGTTAAAAAGAAGTTTTGTCTCAGACAGGACCACTCTATCCAATGACTCTTTCAGAGAATTACAAATGAATGTGAGATGATGTTACTTTATGTTTATAAAGTACCTTATAGGTTTTGAAGTGTTTTTATTTATTTGATATGTTTTAGAGTTATAGAGTAGGCATATTTTTGGATGAGTGATTTTCCAAAAGTGGTATATTTGTATGTCTAAGCATGTTATTGTTTTAGAATTTGAATCATATGCCCTACTCTGTGAGACTCATGAAAATGTTGGTACAGTACTCTTGAAGCCAAGTCACCAACTACCTTTATGTTGTGATGAATATATGCTAAGTAGGAATTGTTTTTTATTTATTCAGGACACATCTCATTAAACAGCACTTATATATGTGCTTTGACACTGAGAACACGGGGATGAAGGGAGACGGGGATTTTGTGTACTTTATAATCAGGGTATAAACTGCAGACAGTAACAATCCAGTTAATAATGGGGACATATATCCAGGGGAGCCAAGGCAAGACTTCAGAGAGGAGGGGAGGAGTATGTGTGCAGAGACCTGAGAGAAGGGTTTACTAGGGACACAAGTCTGGGCTACATTGGGGAATAAATAGAAACAAGAGGAGAGGAAAAGGAGTCCAAAGCTATTTCTACATCTGCAAATGATATATTCCAAAGGGAAACACGGAGAAGGCAGTTGAGACTGTGGTTGGAGATGCTGCTTTACAGGTAGACTGGGACCTGGTGAAGACATCTCAGTTATACCCCAAAGACTTGGAGTACAAAGTGATATATGTCTGGCCCTGCATGTTAAGGAAAGCACTCTGGCTGCTAATTAAAGACTGAGTGCAGAAAGAGCTGGGGCCAAAGGCCAGTGTAGCCCTCTAGACTGATTTCAGGGTCAAGTTGGAGTAAAGCTGGTTTATTCTCACTCAGCACCAGCAAGGATTTTTCATCTGTGAGAAATCCTGAAGGAATTAGTCATATATATACATTTGGCAGCCTCCTTTGTCAGGGAACCTACCAAAGTAAATAGGGAAGAGTGGATTGGACCTCAGAGTCTTGGCAGAGTCATTGGGAGCAGCTCCCTGACACTGTGGATCCCCTCCTGTTAGGAGCATGTATCTGATTTAAAGAACAGGGTCTGGAGGGAAGGGGAGGGTGGGGGAAATGGCGCCCTGGCTTTAATACACAGCTCTCACAACTGTGAAACATCAGCAGAATATCCAATTTAAAGCTGTTCATGTTACACTAACCTCTGGGATTCTTTTAACTKGGCCTTGGCACGTCACTCTTTCGCCACGTAAATGTCCTTCTGTCAGCAAAGACCAGTTAACGGCTTCCAAAAGAAGCAAAGTCCTCTTGGGAACAGGCTTCCCAGAAACCAAAGAAACATTAAAGAAGAAAGACAGAAAGAAACATGTGTTTGTTGGCTTTTGTCACTTCATAGTTATATCTCCAAAGGTGTTTTTTTTTTTCCTTCTCTTTTGGCCATATTGAATTTTGTAGCAATTGTATTCCTTTTATTATCTTTGTTTCCTAAATTTTTAATTGTATTAAATACTGGTTTTATTATATTTGTAGCCCTTTATGAAAGGGTAGAGGATACAGAAAGGGGGCATGTCAAGAGAATAGGGAGAGGAAGGATTAGCCAGTAAACAGTGCCAGAGAAATTGATTAACTATGTGGAAAAAATAAATTATCACCTCAGCTATTAACATTAAATTAATTCCAGATGGATTAAAGAGTTAAATGCTAGGAGAAATTTTGGAGGACTTTCTTAGGATAAAAGTAGTAGAATTCACCACTAAGGTAAAGATTAGTCTACATAATTATTTAAACTTTCTCTTCACTCAGAAATGCAGAGAAAATTATGGATAGATTATTTTTAAAATAATGTTGTATATAGTGTTGGTATTCTTTGCAAATTATCAGTGAGTGCTTTTTTACAAATCAATTTTTAAAATACTGATATTCACTTTTAAAATAGGCTAACAATAAATAGACCATTTACCTAAGAAATGTATTCAATAACTGCAAGACAAAAAATATTCAGTCTCAGTCACGATCAGAGAAATAAAGATAGATACAAGTATGATCAAATAAATAAAAATAAAAGTAAGATAGATACAAGTTAAAGTCGCTATCTTACCTACAATACTTGGTGCTGGTGACAGGCAGCAAGACCAGCATCATAGTGTGTGGCTGGGTGAGTATAAAGAGCCTCCCGCCTTCTCTTTTTATTATATTAACATATTTCTGATATTTGTGTTACTATCCTTATTATAAGCCTTAAAATATGCATGACCTTTGTCTCTGAATTTTACATTTAGGAACCATACATAAAAAATACTGACCTGATGCAATTTTATAACTTAATGATAAAAGAGTAGTTAAACAGGTGAAATTCATTGCATATCATTAAAAGATATTTTCCAAGAAGATTTAAAGATGTGGGAAAATGGCATAAAAATTTTAACTTTTAAAAAGAGCAAAAAGAATACTGTATTTATAGTATTGTTAGGAAAGGAAACATAAGGACTTATTCATGTAACCCCTTGAAATGTTAAATAATCTTCAGATAATGTAGACTTTTATTTTCTTTTATCCCTTTCTCCATTTTCCTAAATTTCTGCTCTAAATGTGCATTATTAATTTTTTTCATTTACAGTGCTTGGGATGGAACCTGCTAGGCAAGCACTCTCCCACTGAGCTATACTGTCAGCCTTATAGTTAGCTTTAAAGTAGGGGTGGGGGAGGATGGATAGACACTTTGAAGAACCACCTCCTCCTAAATTTGTATTAGGGTGATTGGGTTAACATATTTTCTCCATACTTCTCAGTTTCTTTAAGATATGTTGCTTCCCCCACTTTGGTTTTTTAGCTCTGAATCTCTGCTCTGCTTCTGTTGCAGTTGACTGCGTGCATCCATGGTGCAGCTGCAATGCTCTACCCCATGTACTGGCAACATGTGTACATCCCTGTGCTGCCTCCACATCTACTGGACTACTGCTGGTAAGGCTGCTGCATATCCTGCCCTCTGTTTTCCCTCTTCCAAGACCCGGAATGTTAGATCTATAGCTGTTAATGCCACTGGTGACTCTAAATTAAAAATACTCCAAAAATGGCATGGGTTTTAGAGCACCTGATTGCATGGCTTTTTTATTTCTAAATAGCCTTCATATATGTCATGACATTCTGAAGAGTTCAAGAGAGTAGATAATACTTTTTCATACTTTTCCTATTTCTCAGTTTGGATAAACCAAAGCACCAAGAAGTCATATACTTTTGTTTCCCCCTCAGACAAATTGGAAACTGGTGACAAGAGCATTTGAGATTCCCAGGATGACTTCAAGTTTCAACCATGCCCTAGAACGTCCCATCAGACTTGCTTTCAGCTGTGGTTTGGGAGCATAAGCTAGATTTCAAAACCTCCTGAGGCTTTTGATGAAAATTTCACTATTCAGTGAAACATGATTTAGTGAAAGAAAGGAGGAAAGTTTTGGAGTTGACTTGACAGGTCACATGGCCTAGGACTTTGTTTCCTCTTCTGTAAGAAGAAGTTGCTTAATGCATAATTACATAGAGATGAAACAAGACAGCAGTTGAAGCACCATGTAGAAAAGCTGGCTTGTGGTAGGTGCTTAGTTAACATTTCTGCTGAAGCATCATCCTCTTCACTGTCTGTCTTCAGTGGATGACTTTAAAAAATGGTTCATGTGGTGAATTCTCCTTATGAATAATTTTTTTCTCTAGAGTAATGTGATAAAAGACATTGTCCCCAAATAGCTCCTATCAGGAGATATTGGCAAAGGGAGCACAATGTAGGGATGTAGCACTGCCTGCCAGATTGGAGAGCTTCAGGAGAAAGGGACTCATTCAAGCCACTACAGGCCTCTCACTTAACAGATGATTCAGGATATTTACCATTGGGTCTGAATGATTTGAGTCCAGATCAGTCTAATTGTTGCTCTTTTGAAATCATTTCACGGAAAAGATTCACCCAAGTAGCCAAATTGACTTGGGAGCTTAAAGGCATTGTGTAGTCATTCCTAATTTTAATGTGTTGGGCTCGCCTTGCTCCCAGGAAGCCATGTATTTAATGAAGATGTAACTGAGGGCCAGCATATAAAAATCTGTGATCCTCTCTTTATTATACATTCTTTTTTTTTTTTTTTTAATGATACTGGGGATTGAACTCAGGGGCACTCAACCATTGAGCCACATCCCTAGCCCTATTTTGTATTTTAGAGACAAGGTCTCACTGAGTTCCTTAGTGTCTCAGTAAGTTGCTGAGGCTGGCTTTGAACTCGTGATCCTCCTGTCTCAGCCTCCTGAACCTCTGGGATTACAGATGTGTACTGCTGTTCTTTATTATATATCTTTCTTACCAAGGTAGATTGTCTTATCCATGCCTTTCTCCCACCTTTTATGAGATTAAGAGGCCGTATGTCCCCTACCATGTGGAGTGTGTATATATATATATATAAAATCCTGGTTCATTTAAAATTTCTTCTTGATTCATGAGGGGACCAGGTCCCACATTTTGTCAGTATGTCTCTTTATAACTTGGTTTATTTTGGAAATTATTTTTAGTTAATGATGTGTTCCAGGTGCTGCTAGACTAGATTTTGTTTTCCATCTCTCTTTTGGCGGAGGTATTATAGTTTTTGCAAATAGAAAAGGATAATAATATAAATCCCTCATAATAAATTCACCTTATTCACCATTAAATGTTTGAGTTTTCCCCCTTCCTCACAGGGTGTTTTCAAACCCTCAATCCTTGCCTCTCTTCAGGTTCTCTAGCTTCTCCCCAACTGGGGACTCCATGGAGTACTGAACCATCTCCAATAGGAGATCATCAGACACCTGTGCCCACTGCCATAGCCTGGTGCAAGTCCACTTCATCTTTTGGCTTCTAACACAGAGACTAGGAACTTTCTTCACTGCCCTGTCATTGTCATTGACTTGTCTCCAGTTCCTCATCTCCTTTCCATCTCTTTCCCTGCTGTCCTCAGTGACTTCAGAAGCCACACTGTTAGCCTCCCCTACTCCCACTGAACCCACATTGGCTCTATTTCATCATTTGTATAGAAGTTACTTCCCTCCATCAGAGAGTCCTGAAGTAGTGCAAAGATGAACTGAGAGGACTCAATTACTGGCCAGTTGTGTAACTGAGAGCAAATGACAGCCTCTCTGAATCTCTGCCCATATGTCTAAAAGAATAAAAATACTAGAACATATTCCTTACATTGTTTCTAAACAATTGTATGTAAAAAAGCACTTTGTAGACAGAAAAACAATATCAACCACCCAGCAGGATGACACACCTGGTGTTATTGAACTGATTCCCACATCTCTGGCTTCAGGTTCTCCCCTCTGATTCTGACCCTATTCTTTGACTGTCTCAGCAACTCTCTTTCTTCTAAAAACCCTTTGTCTTTACCATGTCTTTCCCCCAGCCTCCTTTTTGCTCCCTCTGTTCTACCTCTTTGATTTTCTTGCTGTCCTGTTTGCTCTTGTGAGCTTTTTCAGTATAGCAAATGTATTCTGATACCTCTGTGTCTCAGCACTATGCTAAGTGTGGGGAAGGCCAAGATAAGAGCCAGTCTCCATCAAAGGGGGCTCAAACAGTTGGGTATAGAAGACAGGCACACAGACGGATTGTTTGCACAAACACTGCTAAGATCTGTGAGAAGGGAGCTGTTCCAGATTACTTTGCCACTTCCCTGGAGACTCTGGCCCTCTGGCCTTGCCATTAATACTATCCTGCCCCATCTTCCTGTCTGCTTCTTGGATGACAGATATGTCTGGAGAAAGTCTGGAAATCACTGCAGAGAGGACTCACTGCAAAGTGGTGCCATCTGCCCTCCTTAGCTTGCCCTGTTCCTCTTAGCTCTAAGCCTCACTGTACTCACCATGCTTCAGGTTTGGGCTGGCCTTCACCACATTCTGAAGGCTCCTGCAGCTGCCTTCCTTCCCTCCACAGAACCTATACTCATGGCCTGTTTTTCTCTAAGGAAGGAAGAGCAGTTTGTTCAAAACCATTGACTTCACCTTAGTCAGGGTTCTGTCTCCTGAGGGTTGTCTGGGACCCATCAGGACCTCTGATCTACCTGGTATCTTCAAATGTCCTGCCTCCTCTCTCTCTCCTCTCCCCACAGATGTGCTCAGGTGCCCCATTCTTCCAACTAGACCTTCCCTCACTTGCTGTTCTTTTTGAGTTTCTGAACCAGTTCTCTTGGTTTTTTCACTGCCATGTATCTCAAAGGAAAGGACTATTACTAGGGTTTCTTGTCATTTGGATAAAAGATGGGGAGGCTGGAGCAGGGAGAGGGGGAGTTAGAAAGGAAGGGAAGGAACAAACTATTCACCCAGGGAAGGTAGAAGGGAGGGAGATAGTGAAAGGGAGAGAGAGCAGAGAAGGGAGAAGGTAGAAAGGAGACATATATAATCCAAGACTCAAAGAGTGACCAACTGCCCCCTCAATGCAGAACCTACTAGATTCCTTCTCCCCACAGCCACTACACCCTCACAGGCACAGGACTCCTTCACAGATGCCTATCCCTTCCCCAGAGGCATGCCTCAGGGTTTCCCATGTGGAAAGAGACACTCCCCATGTGTCACAGCCTAGACAGTGCATTAAAGGACAGCCTCAGAGCCTCCCAAACTCCAGTGAGACTCAACCTTCATGTCTCAGCACTAGCCTCAGACAGGAACACAGGGATTCTGAATTCAAGGATGGGTAGAGCTGGGAGAATTGACCATTGCCTCTGTCACATAACACAACTTTAGCTTGCCATTATTTATAAAGTTGTGATTGCTAGATTTTTAGTTACTTTAAGACCAGCAGCTTATAAAATTCCAGAACCATGGAGAAGATCAAATGCTATGTCATTAATATCAGCAGTAACAGTAGTTGCCATTGTTGAGTGACTCCTTGGTCCCAACCACTGGACCTGTGATCTTGGTTAGCTCTTCCAACTGCCCTGAAAAGCAGGTGTGATTAGTTCCATTTCATTACATCAGTAAACCATGGCCTCAAGAGGTTTAGTGACTGACCCCATTATAGACAGTATATATTGTCCGATTCCAACCTTTTAAAAACAAGAATTATATGAATTCATAACACAAAATTAGATATGTCTATGTACAATAGAGAGGCAGAGTTCTGGAAAGAAATATATCAAAATGTTTAATAGTGACTTATGATTGCGGGGGAGAGGGTTCCAATTTGATTTTTATGTTATTTTCCATATTTTCAAATGCTTCTTGTTTAAATTTTATTTGTATTTTTTAGATACACATGGCAGTAGGATGTATTTTGGCATATTCTACTTAAAAGGAGTATGACTCATTCTAATCAGGATCCTATTGTGGTTGTACATGGTGCAAAGTTACTCTGGTCATATTTTCAAATATTTCCAAAATGAGGAAGTATGGTCTTTTATAATTGAAAAAGCTTTCTTTTGAAAACTAAGTGTTTATTCAAGCCAATGGTTTTTTTCCCGCCACCATCTCTCCCATCTTATTTATTTAGAGGATTTTTTAGCTTCTTTATTCTTTCTTATGAAAGCCAATCCAGGATCCTCTTTGCAACTTCATCTCACTCTCAAGAACTAGATTACCAGCCTGAGTGAGGTCATTGTTGTTGGCAGGTCCAACTTTGAAGGGAAGAGTTGGCAAGGAAAGCCACTGAGCCTTTGTTACCCTAAACTCCACCCCAAAGAATCAAAGTTAAGACTTGGGGCTGTGGGTGCCCTTGTGGTTTTTGTGGGGAGGCTGTATCTGGATGACTCTGTGCTTGCGTGAAAGTCTTTCCTGGTCTCTTGTTTTCACTAAAGAACTTTTTGAAATAAGACCAAAAGATGATTACAGGCCAGAGGGGGGGCATTGGTGTCTGTTAACTGTAAGATGTAAGGATGATGAAATGGAAGACTGCAACAGAAAAATCAGCTCCTCCAAACAAGGCTTAACTTGGTCACCTTCAGCCTGCTGCCCCTACACTGGTCAGA